CGTTAAGATGCTGCAAGTCCACAATCAACCGATCAAGAGGAGGAGGAGAAATAAGGCGCTTAAAAGCTACGCGATTCCAGCAACCAGCTTCGGGTGTGCTGCTGTCCCTATTTACTGTCCTTGCAGCCACTCTCCCTTTCCCAATTCCATGACACGATAAAGTAATGGGTGAGCCAGGGAGACACCCCCCTCCCACCCTCCCCTTGACATCACTGGAGTGTGGGCCCCAAAGGGTTTGGGGAGCGGAGCAGGGCCTCCCGTGGGGCAACATTCATGCGGTCTGGTTCTTTCGGTTACGGATCCCGGGAACAGCCAACCAATCGTGCAGCTCAGCAGGGAGGGAAGTTGAGCCTGGCTCCTAGGGAGCTTCCCGCTCCTCTGCCTTTTGCTTCACAGGGAATCGCCCCTTCAGGTTAGCTGGGCTGGTTTTGAATTGGGCTTGAGGGCGGCCAGTGGGGCCTCTGTGACCCTGCCAGGGACTCTCCCTCCGCTGCCCTTTCAGCCAGAATAGGCTTCATCTGGCGGCATTAACCTTCTAAGTCTAAGAGGGCCGCCAAATCCTCTTCCACTGGGACATAAGCTCTTTGCCGGGGGGGGAAGGGGACGGCCACGGGCCCCAGCCTGGCACAGGCTGAGCCAAGGCCGACCGCAGGCAAATCTGCTGCCACAACATCCGCTCTGCCATTGGGACGAGAGGCTCCAATGCTGTGGGCCTCTGTCCCCCCTCTCCCGCAGGAAAGGCCCATGGCTGCTCACTCCTCCAAGGCCTCCTTTCTGGGGGGGATGCCAGCGGTGAGGGCCTGCTGCAGCTCAGCCCCCTCTGACTGAAGGGAGGATTAGACGCTAATCTTGCCAAGGCGCCCACTGAAGCCAGGCGGTTCGTGCGATTGTTGCTGCCCTCCCAGGACATCCCGCTGCCGAGGCACCACCCTGAATCACCCAGACTGGTACGGAGGAGGCCAGGAGAGCCGAGCCCCTCCCCCCCCCGCTCTGCAGTGAGCAGGGTGATCAACCAGGGCAGCCACCTGCAGGACGGACATCTCCCTGGGAGGCAGGTGACCCCCTGCAAGGAGCAGCTGCTCCCCTGAAACCCAACACTCCTAGCTGGGGGGGCCCAGAACCCCCCTTCCCTCACCCCCAGCTCTGCCCTGATGGGAAGAGAGGGGCTGACTGCAGGCAGGGGCCTCCCTTGGCCCTATTTCATGGGGGATCTCCATCCACCCCTCAGAACATCCCGGCCTGCCAAGTGTTTTCTCTGCTTTTCACAGCTCCCAGGAAGTCTGCAAAGATCTACTCGTTTCATAACGGAAACTCAACTGCAGATATATTATTCTGGGTGCTGAATGAAGCAACCAGCAAAAGGCAGCCCAACCGTGATCCAACCTAACCATCCCGCATAAGCTGAGGGCCTGGAATAACAAACCCTCCCACTCCTCAGAAGGAGGGCTCAGTTATCGGTCCGACCCAGTGCGGGGAAAAAACGTCGTCGGGTGCCGTAAGGAGCCAAGAGGGCCAGAGCTGTCCCAGCCTCAAAGGGCGTCCCTTGACAGAGCCCCGAAAGGGTCCTGAGCAACCCAGGGGGAGGACGGCAGGGGGAGGGGCAGGCCTGTGGCCTCCGGGGCTTGAATTTCCACCCAGAAGGTGCGATGTCGGTGGGGGGGGGGTTCGGTTCATTGTGTGGAGGGTGAGGGATGTGTGTTTGTGTTTATTTTCAGGGTCATGATATGCACTGAGAATGGTGTTTGATTTCGTTGTACGAGGTGCAAGGACAATAAAGTCAACTAAGTTCACTAAAAAAAAAATCTGGCAAGAAAGTTCGTAAAATGGGGCAAACCCCCCACCCTTCACGGTGGACCAAGAACCGCAGAAACCGCTGGCCCCACGGAAAAGACCTGACTCCGAGTGAGGGCCCAAGGCCTGAGCTGTGGGTTGGAGGTTCTCCCTCTTCAAACCATACACCCTGCCAACCCTCCTTGGTTCCCACAAACACCCTCAACCGTCTGCCTTCTTTGCCTCGTGTGAAATGGGCCCCACTCTAGACGAGCCAGCGGTGGCAGCCGTTGGATTTAGCCAGCATCCTCCTAAGCCCAGCTTCCCAGCAGCCGTGTGCCCTTAGCACCTCAACGGGAGCCATGAAGGCCACAGCTGTAAGAAATGCAGGAACCCGTGACGTCTCATCCCGAGCCTCAAACCCCACTTCCATCATTTGGGAAGCGCGTGTCCTCGAAACCACCCCAAAGCTGTGGCAACGTCCCTCCCCACAATAAAAGCTACTGCTGCTTCAAGTCCAGAAAGGGGGCCCTTGAAGGCTGCATTTGGCCCTGGAACATAAAAACAGTTCAAATTCAAAATATTCCGCACACTCCTACTCTAAAATCGCTGCAGAATGCTGAGAAACACGATCGAGAACGTTCAGCCAGCCAGTCAGTCATGGGACTTTTGATTGATTCAAATCCACATCGTTTTGCACATGAATGTAGCATTTCTCCTCAAAATAACAGCGTTTCCCGCCCCTTCCATACTTCATATATTACAAGGTTGCTGTCAACTTGAAGAAAAATGTCACTAGGAATAAAGGGATGGTACCTCATCCCAAGGTTTACAAGCCAGGAGTCGGAATGGAGGCTCTTGGGAAATTGAAAAACACTCCGAAAAAGTCCGTGCCAAAAAACTCCCATTACGGCTGCCCAGAAACCCTCTCAGGGCTCTCCATGACATCACCAGAAGCCAGGCCGGCTCCCTTCCATGTCAAACCAAGAAAAACAATATATATGGTCCCCGTACAGCCGGCTGATTCATTGGAGCACCTTCTTGTACAGTTTATTTCCAAGATTTGTAAGGGCCTAAAATGGACGAGCAGCCGTGTCACGTTGCTTCTTCCCTCAGGGGGGAGGGACTGCCGTCTGTCCTTGCTCCATCCGGGGGTCCACAGAGCCTCTTTCCACCAATTATGCTCTGGGGGGGGGGGGGGGGAAAGAGATGCTGTGTGCTGTGTAAATGGGGGACGGACGGACACCCTTTTCTCTTCCCAAAGAAGCAACCGGCGTGTGTTGGTGGTCATGATGGCACCGGCCTCCTTCCTCTGCTCAACCCCCCCCACCCCCAAATGCAGTTTTCCTGGGAGTTCAGCTGCCCACTGAAACGGAGCCTCCAGATGTTTGGGAAGCCAGGAGTTGTGTGTGTGTGTGGGGGGGCTCAATGGGGGAAGGGAGGTTTGAGCTGCTGCTCAGATTCAAGACCGGCCACCTCAGGAGTCCAAGTGGATTGAAAGAGATTCCAGAGCACGGGGCAAATAGGGGCACGTCATACACAGGTGTCTGGGAGCCTCTATGAGCCGCCCCTCCGTCCAATTGCACAAGCATTCCTCTTTGATGGTCTCTCCCCTCCCCCCCAGGGCCCCCCAGCCCCAGCCCCCCCGGCTCCTCCCCACCTTGGCCCTCTGAGCAGAAGAGGCTGAAGGAGTCTCTTCGTGCATCCTCCTAATAGGATTTGCAGAGGGGGCCAAGGGAGCAGATCGGCCAGGCGGCTGGAAATCCGAACAGGCCATCTGCCACCAGGGGGGTCACTCTCAGACCTCGGTCCCCAGAGGGCCGGGAAGGAGGTGGCTTAGGTCGGTCAGCGAAGCTGGCTGAGGCATCCTGGGAGTTGAAGTCCACAAGATTGCCGAGGTTGGAGAGACCTGGCTTAGGGGGCCACGGCGTGTTGTGCAAACACAAGAAGTCAAGTTTAGGACTGCACCAACACCAACAGCCGCTGCTAAGGTGTACGAGCGGCAGGTAAAACTCCTTCGCCAATGTCACCGCGTGGTGGCCCCCTAAGGAGCTCTCTTCCCTACTCCTCCACCGGCCCGCCAGTCCTCCTCTGCGTTGCTTCAAGGGAGACGGAGGGAAGTCGCGGCCTCCTGGGAAGCGGTGCTTTTCGTTTCCCAGGTCAACCTGGGAATCTGTTTCCCCTTTAATACCAGGGTAAGATGAATCCCCGGCCCCACCCTGGGGAAACCCACGAATCCTTAGAAACCCAACGACTGCAAGCCCAGAGTTTGCTCCTTTTACTTCAAAGCAGACATATGGGAAGCTAAGTTTAGAACCACCCTATCATCTGCCCCACCCAGAGATTCCAAAAGACGTCAGAAATGCTGGTTTAACTGTTGGAATTGGGGGGCGGGGGGGGGGGAGAGTTCCTTGCAAAGTCGGACATGACGTTTGACTTTCAGGTAGCTTGTGTCAGTCACGACATCAAGCAGTCTCAAGTAACACAAAATGGAAACCGCTTCCTCGGCCCTTATCCTAAATTGGGATGGATCCCCGGGAATTTTGAGGAGGAGGAAGAAGCAGCTGAGATCCCTATTTACGAGCCGGAGGGTCTTTCCAGTCCATATCCTTAAGCATCACCGCCCTCAGGGGTCCAGCACTTGGCAAAGCAGAAAAGAAAACAAGGTTCTGAAACCCATTTTATCACACCTGGAAATACCCCAGGTATTCGCCTCTATTGATTCACAGGTGAGAAGAAAAGTGATCAGCTCTGGACTGGAGGCTTCGAAGGCTTCCAGGCACCGGCAGAAGCCAGCCTGTCTTCCCCCCCACCCCCCGGTGAGTTCTCCCTGGCTGAAGTCTAACCACTAGACGGTATGACCAACCAAACGGGAGACCAGAGGACCGCAAGGGACGCAGTCAGAAGGACGAGGGTTGGGAAGCAGCTGCCAGACCCCGAAGTCGCAGGGAAAGGGGTGGGAAACAGCCTGGGGGGGGGTCTTCAAGGGGCCTGGCTCTAGACACCCCAGAGCCCCGTGACCCCAAAATGCAGAGGAACCCCCACCCCCCACCCCCCGAGCTGGTCCCTCTGGGTGCCTCGGAGCACCAGAAGCCCAGCAGGCACACACAGGTACACCGAGGCCCACCGCCCTCGCTGGCTCCGATCCCCCCGTTTTACCAGCGAGCAGGCACAGGCCTCGGTGAATCCACCGGGATCAATTAAGGACACGGGCAAATAAAGCCACTGACCTGCCGGTTCCTTTCATCCGTAATCCTCTGGATCTGGATCTTTTTCCTCCCCATCTTCTCGCAATACGAGGTGACTCAATTTTTATTTCAAAAAAAAAAAAAAAAATAAAAAAGGAAAAAAAAAAAAAATTCAGGGGGGAATCACCCAAAAAAAAAAAAAAAAAAAAGAGCAGCTTTCTAAAAAAAAGGAAAAAAATAGAAAAAAAAACCAAGAAGGGAAGAACGGATTTCTTCAGTTCATTATATTCCACTCGGGATCAATCCAGGTGGGGGGTCATAAAAAAAGAACGAAAGGAGCCTGCAAGGAGACAGAAGGGGGG